TACAACCGGCGGCGCAGCCAAAAAGACCGAGGTGAGGGAGCTGTCAAACATGATTTGGGTCATTTTGATTTCCCAGAAGCCAGCAATATCATTCTCCTTTCGTTACGGAGGATGTAGTGTAGAGATGTGATTTTTGTTGGTTGGGTTCCGAAGCACATCTTAGGTGTCTTCCCGCTCCACGAGTTCCGAGAGGCGGGCTTCACCTACGTGGAGATGAAAGAGGCCCAGGTGGCGGATACTGCTTTAGCTGCCGTCGGTTTTTGGGTCCTCTTCCAGGAGATGCCAGGCTTAGGTGAGGATAAGAGCCCACGCTCTCCCTCCAAAAGTGCCGGCGCCCGGGACGCCGGTCAACTGGGACAAGTGGCCGAGCTGAAGGAAGAAGGCTGTTCCCTCGAAGAGTTGAAAAGCCTGGGTTTTGGACCAGCAGCTTTGAAAGCCCATTACTCCGTCAACCAGCTCAAAGGCGCTGGCTTCTCGGTTGCAGAGTTGAAAGCGGTGTGTACTTTGCGAGAGTTGAGAATGGCTGGCTTCTCCGTGGCAGAGTTGAAGAAGGAGTTTTCCGTGGCGGACTTGAAATTCGCTGGCTTCTCAGCCGCCCAATTGAAAGAGGAAGGCTTCTCGGCTCAAGAGCTGAGGCAGGCCGGGTTCCTTGCTTCCGAAGTGGAGGATGCAGGGTTTACACCTCAGGATTTAAGAAGCGCTGGCTACTCCGCCCAGGATTCGAAGGCATGCCATTTTTCGGCGGAAGATGCCAAGAAAGCTGGCTTCTCCGACCTCGAACTCAAAGGTGCGAATTTTTCCGTGATTAACTGGAGGAAGGCTTCCCCACGCCGAACCCCGGACAGCCCAGGCCTGGGCAAGATTTGTGTGGCTCGCAACTACGGTGCCGACGCAAGTTTAGCCGGGGCGCCGGGGCATGGGACCTGTGCGCCTAGCGAACAGGCTTCCTTATGCGCAAGACGTGCACAGCAGCTTAGAGGGCCGCGTGCGCAAACGGATAAGGGCGGAGGGACAGCTGCTGCCCCGGGCGGCGATGCGACGAAGAGTCGCGAGGAGGAGAAGGCGGGTGGCGTCAATATCGCTACGAAGGAGCGAGCACCGAGGAGAAGAACAACAACGACAACAACAACAACAACATCAACAACAACAACAACAACAACAAGAAGAAGGCGACAGAAGATTGATGATGACATCAAAGATGGAAGCTCCCCATCAGAGGTTATTCGATCTGATTCAGGAGGTGGACATTTTTCAGCAGATACTGACAACTACATCTGAATAGCACAGGGGATGCCTCGCTTCACAAGGGCCTGTGGCTGCCATGAACCTCCGGTGTCATAATGATGAACTCCAAACCACATCAAGTGCTTGAGCCGCATGACTCTTGTGGGTCGTGAAGTGGTTTACGAGGCTTCTTCCACGGTAAAATACTAGACGTGAACTGAAGTGTATCACTATGACAGGTTCCAAGTTCCAAGTGGACGGACTGCTAAGCAGGCCGCATGCCAAATGGACAGCGTACCGAGATGTGATTTCTAGACGCCCTGGACTTGCCGCGGCCGTCTTCCCCAAAGGGGATTTCGTGCCTCATTCTGAGTTCTTATCGTTCTTCTTTGCTTGGTTGCTGGTTGCAGGTATCCGCCTCCAGGACCTCAAATACATATTTCGCTGGTTGAAACCACTCAGCATTTCTGTCAAACAGATGGGAGTTTGAGAGGTGACGTCCGCACTTGTGGGGATGGTTTGAAGCCCACCTTCTCCATGCGAAAGACTCGCGGTGGACCCGAAGAATGGATCTCAGAACATACTGTCAAGCCATCTCCGTGATGGGGCAAAAGAAGCGATTCTCTGCACAGTCGCGACATGAACGCGCAGTGGCCGTGCATCTGATTGCTGATCCAGGCTGGTGGCAAAGCGTCGCGGTTTGGAGTGTCCGAACGGGCGTGAAGAGCTTCAAGTAACCTCGCTGCCACCGCGCCGCCAGCTTTGTCATGTGGGCCGGGGTCTGGTCAGAAGGGGGTTGGGAATGGTTTCAGTTTGAGCTGACAACCCGAAACGTTCTAGACCCCGGAGATTCCAGAGTCGTGCAAAGTCAAGTAAAGTCAGCTGAAGGGATTGGGTCCCAGATCTTAGAGCACCCACCCGAACCCCACAAGTTGAAAGCTGCCGTCAAGCTTGAGAAGGAAGAACACCATTCCTTGCCGAGCCATGCCGGAATCGCTGCAGCTTGTGGCCATCCAGGTCGGGATGCGGGGTTTGCTTCAGAATCAGGGCTTTTCGGTGTAGGGTTAGGGACGAGTGATTTGCAAGGACAGTGTAGGTTTGGCAGAAAAGTTTGGTCTGCCTCCATGGATCTCACTATGGATGCGCATCCAGTGGTTCACAAGAAGCCACATGGTCACTTCAGGGAACCCAGAACCCAAAGCAAAGCTCAGCAGTCATTGTTGTTGATGTCCGGCAGCCCTATACCCAGACAGAGGGCCTCAAGAATCCATTGTGACATGCATGCCCCCCCAGACCTATTGTATATCACACTTCCCAAACCAGTCTTTAGGTTTGTAAGGTGGGAAACGAGAAACCTGGAACTTGCAGGCCTCTCTTCCATCGGCCTGTCTGACCCGCAACCTGACCGAACCCAGCCACTGAAGGAGTTGCCTCTCCAGATAAACCTGAGCCTGTCAGCCACGCCACGCTTCGGACCCAAGCCCTAGCCTTAAGCCGTATCCCCTGAACCCCACAACCCTGAGCTCCAAACCCTCTTCGAAGAATCACGAAACCCCCGAGCCTAAAACCACATCATCGGGATCATCCCCCCAACCCGTAAACCCTAAGCCCTAAACC